TCTTTTCTAGAGACCTTATAGAATAAAATCATGTGATGAGATAGGTTTAAAGTGGGTTAGGTTACTGAGACTACCAAGGAGGTAAATTAGCACAATAGAGAAGCAAAATATAAGAAATGTAAAAGTGGCCTTTTATTTATAGAATTTGGAGAGGAGCTCACAGCTACCAAGGGTTTGGCTCCCCACCCTCCCCCGAATGACTATGGGGTTATAGGGTATATGTGACTTTTGACTGGATGTGGTGCTTGGAGGGGACATTGATGTCATGCTAGGAGCTGATGGGAATTTTCTTTAGGCCCCTGGGAAAGAAAGAGGAAGTTGTATTCAAGGAGAAAAGAGGAAGTGGCCATATGAGTAAGCATCCCTGATTTCTCATTCTTCCACCTTGAACTACAACCATGAAGTCCTGTAAGTGTTTGAAGGTCAAAGCTCTTTCAAGTACATCCTTCGGTTTGAATGAAGAAATCAAAACAAGAATTTTTGCTATCTGTCTTCCTCCATGGCTGTTGGTAAACCATTCATAAGAAATATTTTGAGTCATTTCCTTAATGCATGGTCCATACCATAACCAAAATTACAGATCAGTTCAGTTTCAGAAAAAGAAGCAGCACTTAAAGGCAGGGTTAAAGCCTTCAATGCAAGTATCCATGGCATGGTGAGATCAACAATGTGTGATACAAACTACTACTGATTTCTCTGACTTCAAGAAAAAGTTTATACTAATATTGTTATCCTGGAATGAATCTCCCGGTCTACAATGTCTGATATTAGGATTTTGTCCTGTAAAGTCAAAAATGAATTTTAGGAACAACAGAGATTAAGAGAAGAATATACTTATTCAGAGAAAAAAGGTGCTTGACAGAGAGAAGGTATCCTGAGCAGGTTGCCAAAGACTGTCCATTCTAGGGACCTTTATAGAGTAAAATCATGTGGTGAAGTGAGTTTAAGGTGGGGAAAACTAGGAACTCACAATGCAGATGGGCATAAGGTGGCACAGAGTTATGGTAGCCAATAAGATTATAAGTTCAGGTAAAGTTGATTTAATTGGGAACAAAGGGGGAAGGGAGTCACATAGAAAGCAGGCATTCTTAGGCAGCTGTGTGTCTTCCCTTAGGGGTTTGGGAGGGTGACTCCTGAGTTCCTCAGGATGATAGGAACTATTTAGAATGTCAGTCTTTAGGATAAGGATACATTTCTTTAAATGGTGACTCCTGACTTCCTCAGAGTGCTAGGGAACTATTTAGAATATCAATCCTTAGGATATGGATGAATTTGCTTATCATTTATCTTGAGCCTTGGCCCATAGCATGAGGTGTCAGTCTTCTCCATAGTTGCAAGGTATCTGGTCTCCTGCATGGGATCCTTGGGGGACCTAGCCATGTCTCATGCCAATAGTATTTAAATAACTCAGGACCGGCACTGTTTAGAAAATTCATTACAGATGTCTTGTGCTCTGGGTGAATGTTCTGGGGATAACAGTGTGCAATGTATATACCATTGTTGCCCCCTGATTGACATGTTTTGGAATTTAATTTTAGTTGATGTGTTCTTTTTTCCTTGAAATCAAATGGATTTGAAAATTAAAAGCCTGAGGAAAGCTCTTCAGTACAGATACTCCTCTGTCGAGCTGAGATCACCACTGTAGAAGAATGGCAGCTCCAGAAGTCTCTGCAATGCAGTCTGTTATTTGGGATCCTCTCTTGCAGGGAGGGGCTCCTTTCCCTGTTTATTTTTGACTCAGAAGGACGACAGTAGAGCAGGAGTCAATCAGTGATGAAGGGGCAGGCTATATGAACTGTCCAATCAGGTGGGACACTGCTGGCTGTGACTTCTGTCTGTTCTGGTGTCTCAGCATGATTTACCTGTTCTGAGTACAACAGTGGTAGCAAAATGCTTGCTGGATCTCATTTAGTACTTTTGATGTCCTGTGGCCTGCTTGGCAAAGAACCTGAGAGATCCTGTAGCCATGGAATGGTGAGGTTGTGGATAGGCGCCCAGAAATAGCGTGGATTGGGCAAAACAGGTTACAAGTGTTTAGGAGTAATTCCAGTGTCTGGAGCCTCAGGTATTTAGTTAGCTTCAGCTCCTGAGGTTCTCCAGCTTTGGCCATGGTTCATTCACTATCCCTTTTGCCTCTTGCTGTTGGCAAGGGTAATTTGGGGTCCCCAGAACCCTGGCTTCACTATTTCAGCAGCAGACTCAAGAATCATCTTTGAAATTCACTGCTAGCCTGGTAAGTCCACTATCTTAGTCATTGGGCGGAGCTTGGGAAGACCCTGACTATGATGCTTTTGTAGTTTGTAGAGCACTAATGAGCTAGGTCTATGCCCTCTTTCTGCAGAGGAGCAGATCTGGAATGTCCAGAGTTTATTAATGTCTATAATGCCGGGCCTCATAGCCACAATGGCTCAACTTAAACTTGGGCTTCTTTGTATTTATAGTGATCTCCTAAATTTATAGTATGTTCTCCTATTTCCATCCTCATGACAGGTAGTGACAAAGGTCCTGAGAATTCAGAGACATGTAGTACTGTGGCTCAGCGGAGAAAGGCTTCTGAAACAACTGGTGAACTCCTGTGTATTATACAGATCAGTGCAAAATAATTTCTGATCATACTTAATTATTTAGGTGGCACAGACTAGGTTTGTGAGAATAGCCATAGAGTTTTGAATTCTGAGAAATATGAAGCAAATATGAAAGTGTTATCAAGGACGGGGTAAAAATTTGTGAAGGACAAATTCCAGAAAGGGCTACCTGTTAAATTCTCATCGAAAAATTCCAAAATTTACGCATTTGCATGGAAATATACATGTGATATCCTTCCGAATGTAAAGGAATAGGGGTGTCTCCTCTGAATTAAGAGCTGATTTAGTAGCTTGGTTGTTAATAGACAATTTAAATATGGAAATTCTGTACAATGGACTTATCTAAGTAGTGTAAATGAGAAGCCCTAAATAGAAATTTTGCAGTGATATTGTAGTTAGGCATGAAGGGTTTCCTGCTTAGGATGGATCAGAGAAGTGTGGAAAAGATGTGGAAGTGGCTGACAGGATACAGGCAGCAAATAGCAGGACATACAACAGAGAGCGTCTTCACTGAAAGTCAGGTAGTTCTTAGAGTAAGTATGAAGTAAAGTTGGGTTCTGATTGCTTCACTGAGGTGATCAACACTAGCTCTGGCAACAAACAATCAGTATTCCACATCCCTGTCAACCCATAATTTTTGTGTTCCATACTTGAGATCTAATTTGATTATCTCTAATTATGCCTCAGTGTCATGAAGCTGAAATTTTCAATTTTTTTGTTCCAAGGATCAAACGCATGACCTATGCTTTCCAGGCAGGTGTTCATGCCACTGAGCTAAATACGCAACTATGAAAATGTTTTCTGTGTAGTAAGGATGATACCCACATTGTTTCTGAGAAAGTGTTGAATATTGTTGGAATTTTTCTGTATTGTATGGCTATAATTTTTTTTTAAAAGAAACCAAAGGTGTCTTATGCAGTCTCTTTTTAAGTTTCACTTTGTCTGTTTGGTGTCTCAATCAGGGTTTGTCTATTTTAGACAGCTCTGTAACTTAGGCTAGCCCCAAATTCAAGGAAGAAATCCTTCACCAGCCTCCCAAGATATATTTCTTATATTTGAATTGAAAGTGATCACTTGGTGACAGTGAGGTATAATTTACAGCTTGGGCCTGGTTTCATTTTATATACATATTTTTAAAATACAGCTGTTTTCCACTAACACTTGAGTTATTATTTATATACAATATTTGATGTTATTTATTTTTTGTTCTATGAAACTAAATTCATGTTTCAAAATGCTGCTTAAGTATATTAAGAACAAAGTACTCATTGGCCTAAATGAGATTTGAACAGACATCATCTGTAGTCTATCAAAGTGATTACTGAGATTTTTTATTTAATTTTGAAATTGGTAAAATAGAACAGAACAAGGCAGCATAAGGTCAACTAAGATCACACAATGAAATTGGTACACAACTTCACAACAGGTTACTGGGATAACAGTAATAGGTATCACAGTATATTTTGTTATCTTTGTCATAGTTCTTTAATCACATATGTCAAAATGAGATGAAATACAGAACATTATAGAACTTATCAAAACAGAATATTCAATTGAGCAGTACCATTAATCAGAATAGAGTGAAACAATAATAAAAACATTTTCCTTCAAAGAGATAGTAGAAGGAAGTCCCCCTTATTTGCTATGTTCAACTTCCCATGAGATGCTCAGAATTCTGGTTCCTATTTGCTAATGTGGGGTGACAGGAGAAGAGGGGTAGGGAAGTGGGATGTTTGATTCTAGGTGGTGCATCAGTAGGTTTGGGGTTGCTTACTAGGGAGGCAAGCTGGTTGTTTGGTTTCACAGCGCCCTAAGTTCCAACATAGAACGGATCTTAGGAGCTGCTGCTGGTTATCCCCCTGGAAGGGCTGCATTTTTCCAGACTGCCACCGCTGACCGGGGAGGGGAGGTGCTTGCTTGGCTTCCCAGGCAATTGATGAGACATTTATCTGCCTCTGTGCTTTGTGGTTGCTGGTCCTGCAGGCTTCTCACTGTGAGCTCTGCTTCAGAGAAAGTGCACAGGGAATCTTGCCATGACTCAGCACAAGAATCAGTGCTCCTATTTGGCTGTTACATTAGCAGTGAGTTGCAATCTAGCATCAAATTTGCTGTCTTCAAAAATGTGTATAAACACAAAATTAATGACCAAGACATGGATTTAAATTTGAACAAATCAGTTTTCATTCAGCTGTTTTGTTTGGATTTATTTGTTTAGTTTAGTTTTGTTTTATTGAGACAAGCTTTCTGTATGTATATCAGGTGGATTTGAACACCCTGTGGAGCCTAGAATTGCCCTGACCTCACTGATGCGTTCCTCTCTCTGCCTTTTGAGTGCTGGGTTTATAGATATGCACCACCACACTTTGCTTTTGATTCAGATTTGTAGGAGAGAATTTAAGATATCCCAAACCTGGGGTCTCAACCTTCCTTTGAGAAATATATGTATGATCCTTTAGGAGGCAGTGACCTTTGAGGATGTGGTTGTGAACTTCAGCAATGAGGAGTGGATTTTGCTGAGTCCATCCCAAAAGAACCTCTACAGAGATGTGATGGGTGAAATCTTTAGGAACATGGCTGCAATAGGTAAGGATGAAACCTTTTTGGCACTCATGCTGTCAGAATATTGTTTGTTGCTCATTAGTGCTGTTTCATTAAAAAGAATATGAAAATATTTTTAAAAATATCTCAGACCTGGACACATTATATCATAAATCTAAACAAAATCTATTAATTTGTATGAATTACTCAACTGAGTCCTGGTATTTCTATGTCTACAATTCAGGAGGACTTGGGGACATCAAGGAAGCTGAAAAAGAAGGCAAAATGTACTGGAGATACTTAAGGTAATTCACACTCACAAGGAGAGGAATGTTCCTGAGTAATTAGTGAGTCAGCAGAAAAGTGACCACCAAAGTAATGAGGCACCATTCAATTTAATGTCAGTAATATTCTCCAAAGATGTATAAGCTAGTGTATATATGAGGGAATTAAATCATGAAAATGTATGACATTGCATATAGTTGTATACGAAAGGCATACACTTTGAGTTATGACATTCTCCCTTCAGTTTTTCTACCCATATATACATGTGAATACAACACATTCATTATCTAATAATTGCTAAGATTGCAATAGAATTTGAAATAAAACTGAGTGCTCATGTTTCCAAGCCAAGCTCTAGACAATCGTCGATTCTGACTAATATTCTTAGTAGGCAGTTGGAATGTTAGTGCACTCATTTTGAATATCAGTATGCAGTTGTCTCTACAAATTGATCCCCTCATACTTGTCCTGAATATTTTCAAAATGACAAAATCTGCATAAAATACTGATACATGCTCATTCATATACAAAGCAGATCATGTTATAACAGATCAGGCCTTGAAGCTTATCTATCTATCACTGGATTTGTAGAGAAGGTAATGTTAATAGACTCTCTGTGATTGTGCATTCTTGTAAACCCAGCACAGTAGGAATCAGATTTTGCAGAATGGCAATTTCAAGTTCAAACTTCACAGCTTAATGATCTATGAAAATCTCTTAAAATAGATTTTTAAAAAGCTATAGATTTATGCTAAGACCTGTTCTTCATTCCCAGCCCAGAATGGAAAACAATGTGTTATGTAATGTCAAAAAATAAATAATATAATGTCACTTGCCATAAGAATTAGATGGGTCTTTCAACCATCAATTCAGTGAAATAGCTCAGCTATAAAACCTAAAAGGTCACTGGCTTTCTTTTAGATGAGAAACCAAAATACAAAATGTGTAAAGAAATGAAACAGGGTTGTTAGAGAAAAGTAAGACTGACCATATGGAAAAGGGGACTACAGGTTAAGGACAGAAGGGAGATTGTGATGGGGAAACATATGAGAATAATCTGCATGTGATACATATATGTACCCATGCCCAAAGTGAAGCTAAAGATTACGCATTTCAAAGTACCAACTTTTAAGATTTCCAAATGTGTACCAGTCTTTTGGTTGTTTTCAACATATCTTACAAGGCCTTTCTGTTGCTTCATGGTCAGAATTTCTTAGCAGGCATTAAAAACAGAACTTGATATTAATGCAGTCATTAAATGGAGACCAATTTCACTGTGAATTTTTCTTTTTTTAAATTTAATATAAGGAAAGATTAAATAAGATAAAATAAGTATAAATAATACTGCTTTCAAAGTGAAAAAAACAATAAGAAATTGCAAGATGATGATTACAAATGCTGATCATAGAAATAGTTATGAAATACAAAAGTGAAACATATGAATTGGGGATTCAAACAGTGAGACTGCAAACAGTTTTGTTCAACTCTCCAAGAAAAGCTTATTAATATGGTTATAAATCCTATATGTGATTTTGTCTTTACAGAAATGACAAGCTAGGGAAATCTTATGTATATACATCTTGGAAGCAGTGTAAAGAAGTATTCCTTTGTACTGCAGAAGGTAATGTGAATGTGAAAGAAACAGAAACACACCACGATGTTCAGATCCATGAAAAATATTGCAGTGGAGGGAAACCCTATGTATGTCAGCAGTGTGGAAAAGGTTTCACCAAATCTGGACATTGTAAGCAACATGAAAGAATTCACACTGGAGAGAAACCATATGTATGTAAGCAATGTGGGAAAGCTTTTACCAGACTTGATTGTTGTAAGCAACATGAAAGAATTCACACTGGAGAGAAACCCTATGTATGTAAGCAATGTGGGAAAGCTTTTAAAACACGGGGAGCTTGTAAGGATCATGAAAGAATTCACACTCAAGAGAAACCCTATGTATGTAAGGAATGTGGGAAAGCTTTTAAAACACAGGGAGATTGTAAGAAACATGAAAGAATTCACACTGAAGAGAAACCCTATGTATGTAAGCAATGTGGGAAAGCTTTTACCAGACCTGATTGTTGTAAGCAACATGAAAGAATTCACACTGGAGAGAAACCCTATGTATGTAAGCAATGTGGGAAAGCTTTTACCAGACCTGATTGTTGTAAGCAACATGAAAGAATTCACACTCGAGAGAAACCCTATGTATGTAAGGAATGTGGGAAAGCTTTTAAAACACAGGGAGCTTGTAAGAATCATGAAAGAATTCACACTGGAGAGAAACCCTATGTATGTAAGGAATGTGGGAAAGCTTTTACCATACCTGGATGTTGTAAGAAACATGAAAGAATTCACACTGGAGAGAAACCTTATGTATGTAAGCAATGTGGGAAAGCTTTTAAAACACAGGGAGATTGTAAGAAACATGAAAGAATTCACACTGGAGAGAAACCATATGTATGTAAGCAATGTGGGAAAGCTTTTAACACATGGGGATACTGTAAGAAACATGAAAGAATTCACACTGGAGAGAAACCATATGTATGTAAGCAATGTGGCAAGGCTTTTAACACACATGCAAGTTATAAGGTTCATGAAAGAATTCACACTGGAGAGAAACCCTATGTATGTAAGGAATGTGGGAAAGCTTTTACCAGACCTGGATGTTGTAAGGAACATGAAAGAATTCACACTGGAGAGAAACCCTATGTATGTAAGGAATGTGGGAAAGCTTTTACCAGACCTGATTGTTGTAAGCAACATGAAAGAATTCACACTGGAGAAAAACCCTATGTATGTAAGCAATGTGGGAAAGCTTTTACCAGACCTGGACATTGTAAGGAACATGAAAGAATTCACACTGGAGAGAAACCATATGTGTGTAAGCAATGTGGGAAAGCTTTTAAAACACAGGGAGATTGTAAGAAACATGAAAGTTCACATTCAATATAAAACCAGTGTATATAGGCATCATAAGAATGGTTTCAGCACATGTACATATTGCATAATGCATGAAAATCTTCACACTGGGCAGAAAACTTACATATGTAAGGAATGTGGAAAAGGTTTCAGCAGAAATGCTCATTGTACAATACATTATAAAATTTACATGGTTGAGAAACCCTGTGTGTATGTGAAGAATGTGGGAAAGCTTTCACCACACATGGATTTTGTAAAATACATCTATGACTTCACACTGGTGAGAAAGCCTATGTATATAACAATGTGGCAAAGCTTTTACTGCATATAGTCATTGCAAAACACGTGAAAGAATTCACACTGGGAAGAACCACTGGCTATGTAAGCAAGTGGAGACACTTTCACCAGCCAGATTGTAAGTGAAATACATGAAAAAACTCACACAAGATACATCCTATGTGTTATGGGAATACTCTCAGCATGCTTGATCATTGTTACATATCTGAAATAGTTCACTAGGCAGAGATGATATGTGGATTAACTATGTGAGAAATATAGCCATCTTTCTTGTTAAATACATAGAAAAAGCATCACTGTTCAGACAGTTTAGATCTAAGTTTACTTTAAAAACCCCAAGGAGACCTGAAGAAATAATCAATACAGAAATTAGATGTCAATATTTCTTCACAAATATTCCAGAAATGACAAATCTGAGGTGGGGCTCTCCTTAGGTGCACATATTGCATTTGGTTTTCAGTTAAACACTTGTACCTCTCTAGATTTTTTAATCTAGTTGTTTTTGTGCTTCAACATGGCATCTTGTAACTAAACATCCTAAACTGAAATGGGCTTTTCACTTTCAAGTATGGATAGTGCCTCCGTACTTAATATTTTGTCTTTAAAACTTAAATTTTGTATTTTTATGGTGAATTTTAATGTTGTTTATTTAAAGAGGAAAAAAGTGTAGGAATAATAAAGAATTTCAGAAAAATAAACAATAAGAAATCACTAGTTGATTAGTATCATATTGTCATCTTAGAAGTAGTTGTTCAAGTTACAAATTTAAAGCATACAAACTGATATTCAAATAATGACACTGTCATGGTTCACCTCAATGATCCACCAAAAAGTTATTACTAGGCCTATCCGTCCTACACACTTTTTTTTTTCTTAAAGAGGGTAAGATTAAACATAGCGAAACAGAGCAAAACAGTTCATAAGAAAACAAGTTAAGGAAACACAGATTTCAAAGCAAGCCCACTGGAAATGTTCACTGTCTATCTTACTGTCTCTAGTTTTCTTCCAAATAGTTGTTCCCATCCTCACACACATTGAATATATACTGAAGATTATAGAACTAATCAAGCTTGCTTTTTCGATCTTCAACACTGATTTTGGCGAAGTCGATAATGACTAACATAATGTCTCTCATTGTCTTTGTAGTAGCTGCCTTTATCTTTATATATGCTGAAAGGGAACATAAGAGACTAGACTAATATCACTCTGAACAGTGAATAATAATATCCTGAGAAGGAGAAAGGTGAGGAATTGCCTAAAAAAAGAAGGCAGAGGACATACTTAAAAGTGTATCAGGATTTAAAAGCTAAAGTCTTGTTGCTCTGTTTAGTTTGGTTATATTTTGTTCTGGTCTGTCTACTCATATTAGATTTGAGGGCACAGAGAGATAACCCAAAAATAGCAGTTTATACCATGGTAATTATCCTTAATTTCCTATTAACTAAAACTGAATCCCTATATTACTTATATTGTCTTCTATGACTGATGTTCTTTGAAGCTGGATTGTTTCAATGTTATTTGGCCTTGACTGATTTTATTCACTTTGGGTATGCTTGCTGGTATCAAGTTCAAGAGCAGAGGCAACTACTCTGAAGATGACAAGGTGTAGAAGATATCCATTGGTGGGCTGGGTGTTTAGCTCAGTGGCTTAAGGCACCTGCCTGGCAAGTGTGAGGTCATGAGTTTCATCTCCAGAGCCAAAATAAATAAATAAATAAAAGATATCCATTCCAGGTTTGATTATTTTTTTAATTAAAGAGAAGAAAGGAAATAAAAAACAAAGCAGTAAAAGGGTACAAGTAATACAGAATTTCAAGAAAAAATACAGTAAGAAATCACTAGTTAATAGGTTACATATTGTCATTGCTAGGGTTATTTCCAAAAGATGAAAAATATTAACAAAAGATGAGAAATATAAAATAAAAAGTGGCCTTTATTCTGAGAACATGGAGAGAAATGACCAGCACCCTCACCGCTGGCGTCCAGCAATCTCTCCAGCGGACACGTCGCATGGGGGCCTATAAATAGCCTCGGTTTGGGGTGGAACCTAAGGCGGGCACTAGGGATACACAAGTAGCCCATTGGTCCTAGGTTTTGCACCATATGTAAATTTCCAGGGGCTGAAAGATGGCATCACAGGTAACTTCCTAGGGGCAGGGGAGATGGGGCTTCCTGCTTCCGGTTGTGGCTTTCCTGGCTACAGTGTCCTATCTGGGCAAAAATCCTTTCAGTCATCTTAGAAACAGTTGTACAAATTATAAAATTAAAGCATATAAAGTTGATATTCATACAATGAGATTGCAGAAAGTTCTGTTCAGTGATCCAACAAAAGCTCAGTAATATGATTTTCCATCCTACAGACTCAAGCATGCAGTTATATCCCTTAGACCACCTTCCTTTCCTCTCTTTTTTACAATAACAGTTACAAGTTTTGAGTTTTTTTACTCCCACAGTTCTTATTACATTTTTTTGAAGAGAATAAATCCTAACATGACTAAACAAAACAGAGACAGTTAGAACAGAAGGATGGGCATAGTACATGATGCAAAAATAGAATATCAGATGATCAAAAATGGTTACCATTGTGCCTCTTGCTATTTTTGAAAAGAGTTGCTATATCATCAGATATAATAGAATTGATCAAAACAGTACAGAACAAGACCAATCAAACCTACACTGGAAACCTTGCAAGACTTCAAAAGAAGATAATAGTCAAACTATAATGGGCATCATAATAAATCTTATTGCCTTCAAAGTGGTTGTCTATACCCTCAAACTTGGTACTATCAAACAAAATAGAATATAGTAAATTCAGACAGAACAAGATGTGGAGAGCAATACTGGGGTTCAAATCAGGTTAATAGGAAAACAAATAGTTACTATAGTATATCCTGCTATTTTTAAATTTAGTTTTCCTTAATTGAAAAAAATAAAAAAATTTAATTTAAAAAAGGGTGGAGATTGAGATAAAAGATGACATTGTAATAGAACAACACTGGTCAGAATGGAACAATTTAAGCATAATTGTGTTTCACTCCCAGATAATCTAACATAATAGTAGTCACCAGAGTGCCTCATTCCTTGAATTATTTGAGTATAACTTCATATACGATAGCATCAAGCATATCAAGACAGTGTGAAGCCATTCAACAGAATGAAAGAATTACAGGGTATTTAGAACCAGTTAACAGAAAATGAACAATGGTTTCTATATTATCTCCTTGCCTTTTAAAAAATTTTCTTTATACTATCACATATAGTAGAATATAGTAAGATACATGTTAAAACCAGTGGAAACAGATAGTTTGTTAGAGAGGGACCATTCTTGCACCACTGAGATTGAGCCCAGTGTTGATAATGTTGGTTAATTTTGAATATGCTGGTGAGTTAACGTTGCAAACATTTAGCTGAACACTTTTGTTTATGTTTGGTAGGAATATTAGCCAACAGAGTATTTTCATTTACATTATTTTTAAGACATTATTGTCTGGCTTCATTCTCAGGATAACTTTAACTTTGTCACTTAAAAGAAGTTGATGGTGGGTTTTCCTTCAACTTGATCAAAGAATTGAAAAACAATCAGTATTTATTCTTTATTATATACTGGATAAAATTCACCAGTGCACTTTTTGTATCCCAGCTTTGTTGTTGTTATTAAGAAGCTTTGATTTTTACCCATTGCCTGTGCTCCTTATTGCTCTGTTCATCAGACTATTTCATTCTGATGCATGTGGTTCTGGGACATCAATGCTCACCACATATCCATTAAGGGTCACATGTCATTTTACTTTTGGATGCTAACATTTACTTTTGTATCTTCAAACTATCTCTATAATATGTAATTTTGTAACTCCTTTCCCTTACTCAGTTTTTAATGCACACTCTTGCAGGGTTTGGTTACTGATGGAGGAAACTGGGGCTGGTGAGGGCCTGGTCTCTTATTTAAGGCTTCATACCCTGACCTGCCTGCAGTGTCCCCATCTCCTGACCTGCTCCCTGTAAACATCTGTCCTGCTCCATAGCTACGGTGAGTCCACACGTGGCAGCTCAGATCTGCACCTGGGTGGAAAACATTCAGTCATGTTGGGGTTTGTGACAGACTGGCCTCATACAGAGCTCCCCTGAGTGAGACAGGCATGTAGGAAGGAGCTCTGGAACCATTCCAGCTCTCCCCTGTCCAGTGTGCAGTGTGTGATGCTTTCCTGAGAACTCACTGATGGAGGAGACAGCCTGGACCTGGGTATTTTTTAGCCATGCTTCCTGCTAGGAGACATGGTGTCCTGAACCTCTGCCTGGACCATCTCTGTGACTTCAGATTTCCACAGAGATGTGAGCAGACTCAGTATTCTTCTACCAGGCTCTAGCTCTATGCTGAGGCTTCAGGTGAAAAATCTGTGACCCTCAATTTATCTTATATACATTTAACCTGGAAATTCCACTCCTAAGGGTCATTATAAAAATGAGATTTACAGACACCATATTCTCTTCTTAATCAGGTAAAATGTGGACAATTAGATACCATGAATGTTCCACAGCACAGCTGCTGAGTTAATTATAAATTACAGTCACTGAAAATGCTAAAAGAAGGCCATGTCCTAGGCCATGTCCCTGATCTTTCCTGAGATGGAAGAGAGCTTGTGTCCTGGCTCTCTCTCCACCCAGCAGTGAAGAGACACAAGCCTGCACAGCAGATGAGGACAGGAGCGAGGAGCTGGTCAGTGGCAGACCCCTCATCCTGGGAGGGATGCCTTTATGGCTTTTCCATTGCATTATTTATAGTGCTCCATTCAATATTGCTGCTCTTCTGTTCAATTCAGTTCAGAATAAATAGTTGGTATTTTCTTGAATAGGTGAGTGGAAATGGATGATTTAATTTTCTTTTATGTGTAATGTAGGATAAGCATATGGAAGAACATTCAAGCTTCACTTTATAGATATATAAAATAAGGAGTCTTTTTATTCAGAAAGGCAACACATCATTCATGACTAACTTTTAAACCTGCCATGTGGATCGTGCTGTGGTGGGTGTCCTGCCCTCCCTACCTGAGAAGTCACTGTGACCATCTGTGTCTGGCACAGGACACCCAGAATCTTCTTCAGAGTCTCTTTTTCCAGCAAGGAGGACTGGAATCTTCCTGTGCTCAGGCCACGCAGGGAGTGTGCAGAATGCAGAGGAGCCCAGTACCTCCTGCCTTACACCGTTTTCTACCACAGCATCCATGCTGCAGCCCTGCAGGCCCAATAAGGCAGAGCCCCCAGGGTGCAACAAAGACCCTACCACCTCAGCCCCAGGGGCCTCAACTCCTGGGTCCTGGCCTCAGCCTCCACCAGGCTCCAGGCTTTGCCATGTATTGGACATTCATAGTGGTCCAGACACACCATCAGTGCCTTGGTGCAAAGGCCATTTTCCACAGTAACCCTTCCATTCTGCAAATTTTGATCCTTTCCTTTTAAAAGGAGGTTGAGGCATTGGAGACAAAACCCCACACTTTGGCATTACGTTTTGTTTTTCTTTCTTTCCCCTTCTTGTTTTCTTCTACCCTTTCTTCTTCTTCTTCTTCTTCTTCTTCTTCTTCTTCTTCTTCTTCTTCTTCTTCTTCTTCTTCATCTCTTCATCTTTGTCTTTGTCGTTCTCTTGGACTTCTTTGTCTTTGACTTCTTTATCTTCTTCTTGGTTTCTTTGTTGCTTTAAGCATATATTTAGAGGTGCATTTGGCCAAAAACCTTTCTTTGTCTTTTCACTTTCCAGTTTACTGAAGTTTTTACAGATCTCTAATGCAATTCTAACCCTATGTGTTTGAATGCTCAGAATCCATTCTGTGGCTTGGTAGAATGAGGGAAGTAAAGAAGAAACTGAACTTGGGGAAGTTTTTGTGCATTTTAGCATATCGTGCAACAACACGTGACTCATGGCTTTTTACCTTGAAAATATGGACTTCAGCAGCAAGTGGGTCTGCTACAGACAAAATGAGTTTCCTGTAGGTGTTTCAAACAATCTCATTTCCCCTCAACTTGTGAAGCACATGGTATATGTTTCTTATGGCCAAACTTGAAAAATTATTTCCAGTAAATGAAAGGCTGCCACTGGTCCTGAAATGATGACAGAACTTTCTTGTAAACAGATAGTCTGATTCACACCCTGGCCAACAGAAACTAAGAGAGTCAGAGATGGCTGGCACAGATAGAAACACCTCAAGATTGTCAACTACCAGCCACAACAAGTAGGAACCACGTTGCTGAGCTTTCATTGTTGGGTGATTGAATTGTGTGGTGGGTTTTGAACTAGGTTTTCTGAGGCAGCGCAGTAAATCTAGGTTGCTGCTTGGATCCCCCTTCCTGCAGTGCAATACAAACAGAAAGTCATGAGCATGCATCATTTATTTGAAAATTTCTATTGCAGTTATGAAACCTGTATGCATGAGAGTCCACATCTCTATCATAGCAGACCCACCCACGTGCATTACCACCATATCTTGTAAAGGGTCAGTTTATTTATACAAAATTCACAGTGATGTTCTCAGCCTTGATTTTCCAGACTGGTGCATTTCTTGAAGGGAAGTCATTTCTTGAAGGGAATTTCTTGAAGGGAAGTCATCAGTCATTCTTGAAAGGAAGCTAAATGATTTTATTTTGAGTAAACTTCAAGTATGTTGCTATGCTTCTGTCTGATGTCCTCGCTGCCAGACATGAGGAAAGCAATGAGTGGGATCTGCTGCAGGTTTAGCTCCAGAGGGACACATTGCACAGCTGTGTCAGGCAGGGCTCTCCATCACCTGACTTGCCACCCTGATATCCAAATACCCTTGCACAGTGCTGTCTTTGGCTTCGGGAGGTTCTGGATTGCAGTGGAGATGCCCAGTGTACTGGCTGGCCCTGGGGAAACCTTGTCATGCCATGAGTTTGTCATCCTTAGCCCTGCACCTCTGTGGCCCTGGGGCCAGGACAAAATTCCCCCCGGCTGCAGTGAACAGCATCGTCCCGACAGCTCTCCTTGTGTGTACTCTATGCGGAGGCTAGCAAGGGTCCCAGCTCATTCCTGCTTCAAAGAGTACTGTGAATCAAACTCTTGAAAATTTGTGCAGCATTCTGTGTGGGAGAAAACTGTATTCTTAGTCCTAGGAGTTGTGGGGAAGGCTGTTTAGAGCTCTGATGGGAGCTGGGAGATATGGCTGTGCTCTGCCCTTCCCATTGTTGTTCAGCACCTGCCTTCAAATGTGTCAGTGGATGGGGGAACAACACATTTCAGGGATGTGTGCCTGGATGAAACCAGTTTAGGAGGCTCATGTCTGGTGTTGGCCATGTCTGGTGATTCCCTTTGAGTTAGAAGAATTTGCCATTTCCTTCACAAAATGGACTCATGAAACCTCTTTCACACTTGTAATAAAAACCATCTATCTGACTCTTGGTTGTAAATAAAGGTTTCCTGTTTTGGTTTTTGCATTATTGTTGTTTTTCAAATGCATTGAATCAGCCCTTTGTAGCTCCCTTTGTATCACTGAAATCATGGAAAACATTTTCAAAAATGAAAAGATTAGTACATACACAATGGTCTCTACATTTTCCCTGTAGACTTTTTTTCTCTAGGATTTTCTCTTCTTTCAAAGAGCAGTAGCAGCCAGTCTCCTCCAGAAATGTTTGGCCAAGCAGAATCTGATGCACTGATATGAAAGACCCAGGGTACTCGCTGGTAAGTGTGGGCCACTGCAGCTCTTACAGGGGGGAGAACTAACAGTGTCTCCTGAGATCCACGCCATGTTGGAACTTAGGACTCTGGGAAGCCAAGCCAGCACCTCTGCTCCCTGGTAAGCAGTGGTAGTGTGGCCCACTGCAGTCCTTCCAGGAGGAGAACTAGCAGTGTCTCCTGAAATCCATGCTATATTGGAACTGAGGACACTGTGAAAACAAATGACCATTCTGCCTCCTTGCTAACAATAGTGAACCTACTGCTACATGGCCTAGAGTCAAATATCCCACTTCCCCTATCCTCCTTCCCCTCCTCCTCCCTGTCCATTAGCAAGTGGGAACCAGAAATCTGAGCATCTCCTGGGAGGTTGACCATAGCAAATAAGGGGGACTTCCTTCTACCATTTCTTTGACGGCAAATACTTTTATTACTGTTTTGCTCTTTTCTGATTAATGGTACTGCTCTATTCAATATTCTGTTTTGATAAGTTCTATAGTGTTCTATATTTCATCTCATTTTGATATACAGGATTGAAAGAACAACTATTATAAAGATAACAAAATATACTGTGATACCTATGACTGTTGTTCCGGTAACCTGCTGTGAAGTTCTGTACCAATTTCACTGTACAATCTTAGTTGGCTTTATTCTGACTTGTTCTGTTGTATACTTGCAAAATAAAAATTAAAAGAAAAAGAAAGACCCAAGGTAGTAAATCACAGTGAGAGAAAGGTCAGCACTGGGTGGGGACTAGCAGGAGAGAACAGGGGTATGGATGGGTCCAACACTGAGCAGAAAGCTGGCACTCGACAGATGTGAAGATTGTACCAATTGACGATGTGCTTACGTGTGACTCAACTGAACATGTGGAAACTAATGAAATCTTAACTTAAAATTATCTTAGAATTTAATGTTTCAAAGAACTGTAGACTTAAGAGTAGAAAGGAAAACTGAGAGAAATAGAAGAGGTAAAGGGAAGGGCAAGCAAAGGGCAGGTGCTTTGCAGGACTTGAGCCCTAAGTGGAGCTCAGGACACCTGCCATGGAGCCAGCAACAGGCCTGCCTTGGAATTCCACCAGACCAGTTATCTGCCCTTTATTTTCAGGTTGATACCAGAGCTGTTGAGGTCATTGGACGTGAAGCTGGCACAAGATCTGTAAGTAGACCTTGAGCTCAGTCCAGTACCAGCCCAGATTTAGAAAAATCACCAACTGTCCTTGCTCCTTGCAGGCCCCAAAACCTCCCAGGGCCTGTCAGGGACAGCTCTGTGCACAAATGCACCCCAGGAAAACTTCCCATTCTCCCTCACCCCACTCACTTCTGCATGCCTCTGTGTTGCAGGAGGCCCCAAGTCTGAGAGTCTTTCTCCCTCTAAAGTGTCCCATGTCCTCCTCAGAAACCAACAGACCCAGGACAATTCCTTCTCACTGCAGTTCTCATTTTCAGTGAGCTAGGCTTGACCCAACTCAATCAAATTAGATTGGGCTGATTGTACCACCTTGCTTAGCAGCACCTGCCAGGAGCCAAGAAGAGAAACTCTGACCCTGAGGAGGACAGGTGTAAGCAGCACTACAGGTGTGGCCTCCCTCCCAAATGGCCCTCCCAGTGTATCCTGTTTGCTAACCATAATCAGCCCTCACTTGCTGTCAGAGGTCCCTGGACAGTGCTGTTACCACCTGTCCTACACTCTGTAGGAATCCTGAAATGCAACTCCCTTTTCTACCCTTGTGGCCCATTGCCTCTGTGAGAAAGCAAGTGGAGTCTGCAGTGTTACTCTAATGGTTGCTCAACAGGGTGCTGCTGTATAACTATCTGAGAAGTGAGTGGACAGTGGGAGTGCATCCTGCCTGCCTTTCCTCCACCTTCAGTGCATATGCATCACTCCATTCTGTGTGCCTTTGTGAGTCTCGCTTTCCCCTATTTTATGTCCATATGTACAGAGGCCAAGAAGTTAGACACATTCACCATAATGTGGGTGGTACATGGCCTGCTCTCCAGGGTGCCTGTGTTGCCTTCATAACATGGAAACACAAGAGACCAGTGTTTGTATCTGCTCTGGTCACTGCAACATGGTCAATACCTGGTACACTGATGATTTAAGGCACCTACCAGCTCCCTCTATAATGTCTATGTGGAACTGGGTCATCTGGAATCCCCCAGAGATTCTTGCTCTGGATACCATGGAAGCACATGGAATGACTGCCCAGTGTTCTTCAGATTGTAGACAACTGCTCCACCCCAGGGATGGATCTTTGGCAGGAGGCAAAGCTTCCCCACGGGAAAGGAAAAACTGCAATGAAGCCAGGGTCCCCATTCAGAGAAGACCTAGTTTTAGACCCAACTCCTCCTTCCTACTTCCCTTGTCAACTTAGAAAAGACACCATGCCTCTCATGTCCTTTCCAGTGTGTCCCCCTGAGCTATGGAGGTCATATTGGCATCTGCTTCCTAGGGACATCATCAGAGGTGAGAGATGACACTTTTAAATTTGTGGGCTGGTGTCATGTGTACACAGTGTACAGAATTAGAGGTGAAATCGATGAAAGGTGGGAGGGAGGTGAACACATTGTACATAGGCCTAGATCCTTCTGTATGGTGGTGTAAATGACACTCACCTCCTGGACATGTTTGCCTGGTGTCATCATGAGGGGGCAGAAGTTCATCAGATTAACCATCATTTTGTTCCCTAAGCATCTCAATTTCTTCTATGTATTGGTTCTATGGCCTCAAGTCAGGACCTCACACAAGCTAGGCAAGCAGCATGGATCCAGATGCACCCCCAGATCTACCAGCACTGTGCCTCATTCACACCTGTGTGAGTCACTACACCCATGGCCAGCGTGCTCAACTGCTGACAGCTCACCTTTTGATGGCCACTTCCTGAGTAGTCCATTCCTTGACCATAGGTCACAGGTAGAGAATTTTGTTCAGCTTTGTTTTAGCTAGGCTAAAATTTATCCCAGATCCTCACACATGGTAGGGAAGTACTCTATCCTGAGCTCTCTCCCCAATTCCTTACTTATTCTTAATAACAGAACATGGCAGACGTGATGGGATGTTACTATCAAGGTTCACACATAAAATGCCTGTGACCAACCTCCTGATCTCTCCCTCCTCTGTTCTTCCTTCCTTTCTCTCTCTTTTGTTTTTTCTTCCTCTCTGTATTGCTATCTCTGCATCTTCCCTGAGGAGAGGCTGACTCTTTGCAGAGAAAAAGGGTAAGAGACAGAGCAGACATCAGACCTCCATTCTAACCTTGTTCCTGACTATTAGCAAGAGAGAGAGAGAGAGCCTGAGAACAGATTTTGCCACAGATGTGCTTCCACTGATTCTGCAGCCTGATTTGGAGAACCTAAGGTGGATCCCCCAGCAGCACCTCCTGAATTCCTAACCCATAGAACCTGACAGAACTGAAGTTTATCTGTTGTACTTAAGTTTGCAGCCATGCATTCATCAGTGGTCACTGATGTGCTATATCAGTTGTGAGGTTCTGCCCCACACCTGTCCCTTGATCACTCTTCCCTTCCCTTATTCTCACCAAGCCCTCTGTTCTCTCTTTTCATCTCTTTATTGACTAAAAAAATTTGAATTTGCATCTCTAAATTGTTGGTCCTCTGTCTTCAGCCACACAGACTCTGCTCTGTACAGCATTAGGGCCTGCATGTCTCAGGTTCAGGCATCAGTTCCATCTCAGTGAGGCTGTTCAGATCCCCTCATGTAGTGACCTTGGCCTCTGTGTGCCCTTGCTTTATTGGGGTATAGTGCTGGGTCTTCTCTTCCACTACATTCTGTTGTGGATTGTCCCGCTCCTCCAGGCTTCCAGCTTCTGGGTGGCCACTGACATATTGTCCTTTTCTGTGTTGGTGCCAGCCTCTTTCAGCCGAGGAATAAGGTGAGAATTTGAGGCACATAGATTGAATAGATCAGATCAATTTTCCTCTGAGCAACCCAGTGTGTGATCATGGCATCACTGTGTGTTCGTGTATGTGTGTGTGTGTGTGTGTGTGTGTGTGTGTGTGTGTGCGCACATGTGTGTGTATCCCTTGGGATGCTGCTTGAAATCAGTCCCACATGTTTAGGCTCAGGTCCCAGGAGCTTGGTGGCTGTTTTTCTAATGCCTTTGGGAGTTGGCTGGGTCCTGTGCTAGGAGGTCTTTCTCCTTTGGACTTCTCCCCTATCCTCTTCACTCTGCCCATGTCCTGTGCCTAGGACCTGGCATTGTCCCTCTCTCGGCACTGGTTCTCAAATGTCCATTGGGAGTGGAATAACACACATAGTCCTTTACTGTGGAAATTCTAGCATGCTCGGGGGTGAGGCACTAGAGGGTCACATGGGGTACTCTTCACCTCAGCACTGTCCCCATCCACACCTGCCTGTAATTTGATACCATCCCTACTAAGGTCCTCATCCTCAGGTTACCTCACATTGCCATTGTCACATGCAGTCCATTGGGCAGGGCAAGGCCTGGACTTAGAACTCACCACTCACTGTCACTGATGCCTTGCCCAAGCCTGTGACACTTTATAGGCCCACTTGGTTCAAAGACCATGGGAAAACTTTCTATCATCCATCGAATTCAGGAGCTACACCTTAGCTCACACTGGGGCACCCACGTGCTCAGCTATTTCTTTGTGGGAAACCCAGTGGCTGCTGAATCTGTGACCTAACCTCTTCTGCTGTGCAGGCCCCAGTGGCATCACAGTGCAGCCAGGACTTGGGGGAATAACTTCAGCCTGGAGTATTTATAGTGTGGAGCAACCAATCAGCTGGCCTCTGTGAAGGCTGCAGGGGTTTACACCATGACACAGCAGATCTCTGATTGAAGACCTTCCCCCACCCCCAGCCCCTGAGGAGTCATGGAGAGCTCTTGGGTGCCCTCCATATTTGTGGCCTGGGCACGAGCCTAGCAGATTCTAGTTCTGGGCTTGTTTTTACTACCTGGGACCAGATGCCATTGCTGTTTCCCAGTGCTCATTTCTCCCATTTGTTTGCCTCCATGGCCATTATATTTCTTTAATTATGTACACAAGGCCTCATTATTCTTAATCAGCCTGTGTTCATGTGTCTCATTTTTTTACTGAATTACTGGAGAAATATGTGACTTATAGGTGGTGGCATACTGAGCCAGACTTTATGCAAATTTACTCTGTCCAGAGAAGAGGGCATAGGCAGCCATATTCATGACACTGTATGGAAATAAACCACAGGGTAATTCAATGGACATCCTGCCTGCAACACTGCACTTTCTATTCTAGGCCATAGACTTGGAACACACAGTGCCTCACATTTTAATGGTTGTATTACAGCTACAGTACTTTACTTTTGTGATTTTTTTCTTGTTAAGCACTCATAAATTAAAATTAATAATTTATCATTGGAAATATCTAAAGTATAAATATGGGTGTGACACTCACATGGTGCTGCTCTGTAACGAAAGAAAGTGTGTTAGTCTCCTTCATATAAAACAGACATGAAATGACCTACATGTAATTAAACATGGACCAGTTTTGATGTGTATATGTCTATAAAGCCAGGAACATAATTAATAAAACAAAGAAATCTAAGAATTACAAAAAATTCCTGAAATCTTTTTCTATGCCCTGCCACGAGCCCATGAATACATGCATGAGAAATTGATACAATCTGTCTGGATATTCCCTTCTCAGACAAGGAGAGATTAAAAAGTTACTTACAGCAGGGTAAGTCAGAGGAGAAACACAACTGCAGTGATGTGGAAAAGGTAGGACAGGTAAATTACAAGGCCATTGGATGAGTGGTGGCCAGAATCTAGTCAGAAGGAAAAGAAAAGAAAATATATTTGTGTAGTGAGTTGATGAAAATGTTCTGGAAGAGGACACTGGTGAAGGTTTCACAATATGGAGAAGGCACTAAATGGTACCAAACTCATCAACTGAAACAAGAATAAATCCTTCAATTTCATTTGCAATGATTCTATCACTGGCATCCCAGAATAGAATAATAATAAATAGAATAATAGGTAAATCTGTAAGAGAGGGGAATGGCAGGAGTGGGTCAAGAGCTGCCTGCAGGTAGAGGTCAAGAGATGACTCCTGCTGGGGAGCCACCAGGAGATCCAGCTCTGCAGCTGGTGGAGAAAGGACAACATGTGTCTGCTCTTCTATGGGGTCAGAGCTGGTGAAGAAGCTGCAGGTGGAGCTGGCATGAGTTCTGCGGGTGAAAATTCAGCATGCACTGGAATTGCCTCTGCAGTTTCAGGAGAAGAAAACATCACTGACTTTCCAGGGACTTCTCAGCGCCAAACCTTCCCACTGCCTGTCAGAAGCAGCTGTGTGCATGAACACAGCCCCTATAAAGCCTCCCAGACTGCATCCCCACACTGACTGCTGAGGGAATCAGGTTCCTGTGTCTCCCATCATCTGGGCACATTGTTGAGTTCAGTAGCACATTCTACCCTGTCAAGGCCACAACCCACATCCAGGGCTCCTTACCCTGTGACTTAGGCACCATGGACTTAGGAGGCTCCAGATGGTCCATTAGAAGCTTGGCCTGGGGATCCACCTTGGAGTTCAGCTCCAGTGAGGAGTCAAGGACAGGAGATGCATCCTTAGAGCTAACAGGGAGGTAGGAAATCAAGAGGCCTGGCCTCTCTTCGAACACTACCTACACAGGTTACCTTAGCGGGGGCACATGGGTCTCAAGCCCAACAAGTTCAGTGTCCACTCTCACCCTCTCCCAACTACAGTGTGGCAGTGTGGGCTAGGGATCCCTAGAGGCTGACAGAATGCTTCCTGTGAGGCAGTCCTTGCTTAGTGGTATGACACCACTTCCTTCTTTAAGGAAGTGTGACACAGTTTTTCCCTGCCCTTCCCAACTACAGGTCAGCTCAACAAAGGGAAAGACTGATATCTGCCATGTCTTTGCACTCAAGGGCTCAGGGATGGTGCTCCATGAATATCTGAGAAGTAAGGAGTCATCAATATGTATCCCGCCATTCTGCAGTGTCTAGGTCAAGCAAAGATCTGCTGCCCAGTTCTCTTGGTCTCTGTAGAACTCCTCCTACATGGTCTGTAACCACTTCCAAACAAGGCCTTATACACAGAAAGACTTCCTTGAGGTGAACCATATCTGTTCTGCTGCCAATGCTGACTCTGTGGCCTCCAAAGAACATCAAAACTCGAAAGGGCAGTTGTTACACCTGTTCTGCTTACAAGATCATGGGCAATACTCAGAAAAGTGTCTTCACACAGGGTGTCTTCATGTGTATTTTGGCTTGATGACACCCACTCACTTTGCAATGATACCTGTGGGCCATTGACACTTTGCCATCCCTAAGAATTCCTGCCCTAATCATACCCTGAAACCCCTAGAGTGACTCTCCAATCTCCTTTCCAAAGAACAGGACCATTTTCCCTATGTGTGTGTCAGTGAGGGGGATGGAAGGTCATCCCTGGGAATCAGGACAGCCTCTGTAGCAGGTCTTCATGGGGCCAAGTTTACAGCTAATCCCTTGCCGTGGATCCCCCATTTCCTACGCAGTGACCCTGCACTCGGGATCCACTCAGCACCCCACAGTTTAGTGTTGTAAACCAAGACTGAGGTGCTTGTACATGGCCAGTACTTGAATACACAGGTGGCCAAGTCCCACAGGGCTGCTCAGGTGAGAACATAACTTCCCTGTATCTGAACTAGTCCTGGATTCAGTGTCTCTGAGTGTCTGGTGGTTGAGCCTAGGAATATGTGTTCTGTGCTTCCTCTTGTCTCTGGGTGCCTCGGGGCACCTCTGCGTGCCAGTGCATCCTGGCCTGGGTTGCTGACAGCTGGGTGTTTCCAGTTGAGCTTCCTGAAGCATCTGGACCAAGTGAACCATCCTCTCCATATGTTCCCACATGGTTCCCTGACACAGGGTCCTGATGATGGGGCCACTAGCTCTGGGAAAGCAGTGTAGCATGTTCCTTGTTCACTCTCTTGAGCCAGCCATCCATTAAGGCCAACTGTTACCAAACCACAGTGCCTGGTGACCAGAGCCTTCAGAGTTCTTTTTGGACTTGTCACCAAGAAAGTAAGGTCATGTGCTGGGGTCCACAGTTGAGTCTCCCCCTCTGATGCCTCCTTTGTTTTTATTGTGAGCTAATCTGTGTCCTGAGAAACAGCAAGTTAAAAAACAAGCAAAATATGTGTGTTTTTAGACTTTTCCATCCAAATGATCCTTTCCCTTGAGGATGAGGTGCACAGTTTCTTCATTAAGAGATTCCTCAAATTTTATTTTGACTATCTTTTCTGGGCTTATGTTAGTTTCATTTCGTTATCATGAAGGAGCATGGAGCTGTTCCCAGAATGCCCATAATAATTTTCCTTGAAGGATATGAAATGTTTCATGTTATAACACCCATGTGTACTGGAAAGGAGGAATCATAGCAAGTTTTACTCTCACATGCCTATGAATGATCATTTCATCCTTAGATGTTTTCCTCAGCCACACACTGTAGTGCTCCGTACTCTGACCTCCATTGAGGAGGGACAACAAGGGGTGAGGGCAAGGGGAGGCTCTGCAAGGCCATGGACATCATCACCCTGTGCTGATGAAGGACACATGGGCATCACTCCTGGGTAATTTGTATCGTAATCACTTTTTCATTTCCTGTTCTCCCATCCCAAGCAGACCATGGGCTTTGTGGCCATGCTGGTTAGTTTGCCTTTCCTAGAGGTGATGGCGCTGAGCCTGTTCACTCTCAATGCTCTTGGTTGGTCTCCTTCAAGCAGCATCTGTGTGCTGGGCTCTCCACATACTGCTGCTAATTGCTGGTGGAGCCACCACACACTCTCATGGGGCTGAACCTGCCAACTGCAACTTGTTCATGCATCTGTCACCCATCTAGTGATCCCATTTGTTCTGTTTCCAGGTTGGCCCTGGAAAGCCAGCTGCCACCACCATTCTTATACATGGTCTTGAGTGAACATAGATTTTTATTTCAAAGAAAAAATACTTAGAAGTGAAATTGCCAGATTATATGTCTTATGTGTGATTAGCTTACAAACTGTTAAGGTACGCTTGGAAACATTTTTTAAAATCACAGATGGTTGTTTTCTTTTTGGTCCTGAGGATTGAACTTATGACCTCAGGTTTGCCAAGTGGGCACTTATACTGTTGAACTAAACCTCCAACCCTGTTTTCTTATTTTGTTTTGCTTTGTTTTATTGTGTCTTTTATGCTATAATATGTTATGTTATGTTATGTTATGTTATGTTATGTTATGTTATGTTATGTTATGTTATATTACACTATGTTTAGTGTTGGTGAGGATTTTGAGTCTCCTTCAGTGCATTTTCAGTGATTTCTAATTTCATTTTTTATAATTCACCTGATAAACTATGACATATCACATAATCCTGGGTAATTTAATTTTGGAAAAAAATTTAAAAAGTAAGCGAGAGCCAGGTTTGGTAGTAAACATCTCTAATGTCAGAAGTTGCAAGGCTCAGGCAGCAAGATTGCTGTGAGTTGAGGTCAGCCTGGGCTACAATGTGAGTTCAATGAAAACCTAAACTTCTTAGCAAAATCCTGTCTCAAAAGTAAATAAATAAATCAAAATAAAAAATACATTTAAAAGTTTTAAAAAGCCATAAAACCATCTATAACTCGACAAATCAAATCCTGGTGAATTTTTCTTATATACATACTTTAGTTAGCAAACTGAGCATTATGTTTACAATGAGGTAGACATTGATCTACTGCCAAGAAGTTGA